CCCCTTTCTATTTTCTGTGGCAAAGTAACAAATGTAATGGAGGGGGGAAAAGGTAAATGCACACACACACACACAGAGAGAGAGAGAGAGAGCAATCAGCATGTCATTTTAACAATTGCAGTGACCTTTTCCCACCCTTATATATATATATATAGTGGCGTGGAGGCCGGGAGAACTAACGCCAGTAGCACCACAGCGGAGAGACACCCAATGTACAGGTGCAAGACAATTATCTACACAAAAAGAAACATACATGCAACAGCAACAAAAACAAAAAGGGTGGGAAAAGTGAAAGGAAAATAAAAGTGTTCTGTCTTCTCTCACAGAAAGAGACAAGAGGAAGTAAGATGTGCACATGGACACATGCGTCTTATTTTATCCATTGATAAGAAAGAAAGAAAAGGGTTTGTTTGAACTTCCCTCTCACTCTCCATCGCTCTCTCTCTTTCTCATTGATGCTCACCATTAGTACTCGCTAAAATCAGCATACAAGGGATTTCGTATTGGTCCCCTGTTCTCTTCTGCCAAACAATTTCGCATAGACGCCTGTTCGGCCGCACGAAACCTCAAAAGGACCATAATGTATAGGAGCGCGTATATGATGATCACAGCGACTACCATCAGAAAGAACCCCACATACCAAGCACGTTGAAAGACGGGACGCGGCGTGATCTTCTTCTCCTGCCGTACATAATGAATTGTGCCTGGCGGATAAATAACGGGGCTCCCACTGCCCGGATGTCCCGGTGGAAGCGTCTGCCACGGGAACCTCGCCGCGTCGGTCATGATCGGATACACAAATGCCACATACAGAAGCAGTGCGGTCAACGAAGTCACAAGCACCGTTGGCGACATGGATGCACACAAAAAGCGGCAACCGTGGTATTATTCCTATTAATAGTGGCGGAGTCCCAAACGGAATATTTGACTGCACCTCCGCCCCACACTCACACATACACACACACAAAAAAGAAAAAACAAACAACAATCCCCGATGGACGAGTTCCCTTCCGCCCACGTCACCTTCCTTGATGTTTCTTCTCTCCGCTGTTGTATGCACACACAGACAGACAGAGAGGGGGAGAGACGTTTAGAATGCAAAGAAAAACAACAACAACAACAGGAAGAAAAAACAAATAAAAAGAAATCGCGGCAACTCGTCGTTGCTCGGAACTTCCCCCTCCCTTCTGCCCAACAAAAACAGAGCGCAACAAAACAAAACAAAGACGCAATGAAATCCTTTCAAAGGAACCTCTCGCTCGTTATTCACGTCCGTTTTTCCCACTGCCGTCAAAAGCCCAGACCGAGAAGCCAATGATGTAGAATCATCCGACCGTCCATCCCCACGTTGTAGACGTAGATGCTGTGACTGCGCACAAAAATCTTCTTGGTCGGAAATATCTTCAGTAATTCCTCCTCAAAGCGGAACACATCGCCCTCTACCTGTTGGATGCGCAAAAAGAACGCCGGCATGAGATTGCGTGCATCCATTGAATACACCCTCCCCGGTAAGAAGCCATTGCTATTGCGGTGAACAAAGAAAGGAATCGTGTCAAGTGGGTCTGCTGGGCCAAGCGGCGGATTGTAATTCACGACAGAGCCCTTGCCAACTACCCCTACATTCTGAAGCTGCGGCTCCTGCAATGTCGACGACGATGATGATGGCGGACATAGCTTGGAAAAGTCGTGGAGTTTGTAACGCAACGGGAGCTTCAATAACTCATCATAAATTTCGCTACGCAATACCCGATTCCATTTGCTGTAGTGCTTACCCGGCACCGGTTGCACAGCCGCCACGTTCGCTTCTGGCGGCAAAGATCCAGCGGCGATGCTCTTCGCAATATTCGTAGGTGGGATAACATTGATGTATTTTCCGGTAGAAGGACGCGCGTCATGGCCAAGTGCCGGAATAGACGCCGTGCCACCTAGCCAAATACACCGCAGGAATGAACGCTGCAGCATGGAAAGATGTTTCTTTCTTTTTTCTTCTTTTTCCTGTTACTTCCTTATAATAAATATATACAAATGTATGTGTGAGGGTTCTTTCTGTTTCCTCTCTCTCCCACCCAACCCCACCCTTTCCTTTGCGGTCACCATGGGAAATATACATGAAGAGAAACAGATAGGAAGGGAGAGAGAGAAGACATGGGCATAAATTCCATACGGGATGAGTTGGATGCCGTGCTAAACGGGAAAGAGAGAAAAAGAGAGTAAACACGTCCCTATCGCATTTTCTTAAATAAATAAATACTTTTTTCCTTCAATCATTCCTTCTTCTTCTTCTTCTTCCTTCTTTCGTCTTTTCACAGACAAAAAAAGAGGTACCACCACCAACAAACAGCGGTGCTCACAGATGTGATCCATTAATATATTGTATAAACACGTATATATATATATATATATATATGTTTATGTCTTCTCCTCTCCATCACTCTTTTCATTTTGGCTGCTTTATTTGTTATGATTATTATTATTATTATTTGTTCTTTTTTTTTTTTCTTCTGTTTTTATTTTTTTATTTTTTATTTTATTTTTTATTTTTAAAGAGTCATTGCCTGCAACCTTGCCTTTGAACGTTTGCCTACCTGTGCACTGTACGTGGCGGAACCAACGGCTTGCACAGTACGTGTAGCCGTACACCAATTGCATCGGAGTTCCATGCGTCTTCCCTCCTTTGTGAGTGTCGTGTCAATCTTATGACACGAGTTACACTTCACAAACTCGTCCAAATATTTGTATAAAATGTTATCAAACGCAGTAGATTTCTGAATCTCGTACTTAAGAATAAGCGCATCATTGCTGTCAAGGTTTCCTCCTACAGAAAGTTCCTTTTCAATATAATCCTTTACATCTTGAATGGGACGGTTAAAGGCCTGACAAATACGACCAAAATTGGTAATAATAACTTTTTTCTTTCCAATTTTCTCCAGCTTTGGCTCAGGAAGTCGGTTACGTTCTGTCATAGCACTGCTCTCCTTGTTGCGGTTAAGCGCAAAGAAGAGACGCCGCAACATGACACTGTAGTTATACCCACAGCCCTCTTCTGAAGCCTTATTGTTACCGCCGCCGCTGCTGCCACTGCTACCTGTTTTGGAGGTGGCATCTAGGAAACGCTCTACTTGAGGAACCCGCTGTTGTTTCTGACGCAGTTGCTCATGTTCAATCATGCGCCTTTCCACTTCCTGACGCGTAATGCGCTTTAGTAACGCGTACAAATCATTGGAGGTGTAGTTGTCATATGCAATCTCAAAGACATCCTCCACACTCCCAGCGACCTGCGGTGCATCCAGGCGGTCTCCCATCGTCATTGCTGTGGGCGCCACCGTTGCCGTGGATGCGGAGGGTGGAGGGATGGAAGAAGTTGCGCCGGCGCCCATCGTCACGGGGTCCAAGTGCGTTGCAAGCGTTGCGTCCGGCGCAGCCTCCATTGCCTTTGGCGCCTTTGGACGAGACGTCTTCTTCTTTTGTTGCTCAACCTCCGCCTGCGGCACATGTTCGTTCTCGTCGTCGTCGTCGTCGCCTTCGGCCCTGCGGCGACGGACGATTCTCGCCACCTTCGCCCCCTCTGCCATTTCTCTTTTTTTTTTTTTTTTCTTTCTTTTGGTGCGTCGCCTCCTCGCTGCTGGTACCTCACCGCCGCCCCGTGTGAGTCAAAATGTGCCGTGGAACGACAGAAGAAGTGCAGCAGACAAAAAAAAAGGGAGGGGAAAAAAAAAGAAAATTTAAATAAAATAATAAATAATAATTATAAACAAAAACACAAATCAGAATAGTATCCTGGGATACTGGCAAAATCCTGAAATCATCTAAAAAATAAATAAAATAAGAAAGGGTGGAAAATAGGTGTGTGTGTGTGTGTGTGTGTGTGTAAATTTGGAAAAGACAGTGGTCTCACCCCAATTGTTTGATCCAAATAAATACCTATCTACATATACATAGAATAGATATGCATACATACATACATACATACAGGCAGGCAGGCAGGCAGGCAGGCAGGCAGGCAGGCAGGCAGGCAGGCAGGCAGGTACTTGGACTGACACTCTCGTGGTCTTTTGCACAACGTTAAGATCGGATATATTTATTTATTTATTTATTCCTTACCAATTGGCGGGCTGTAGGATCCTGCAGCCAAAAGAACACCCCCGCCACCGCGAAGAGGGAGTGGGGTGGGGTGGGGTGGGAAATAATAATAAAAAAAAAACACGTGAATTCCTTCTGAGATGAACCCCCCCCCCTCCCCGCCTCCCGCCCAAAGAAAAAAGAAAAAAAAAAAAAAGATAATTCACAAATGCAAGCAAACATACATGTGTTGATTACATGCAATCAAATAAATAAATAACAGAGAGAAGGAAAAAAAAAAAAAATAATAATAATAAATAATATAAAATAAACAAAAGCGGCTGGATGTAAAGTAAGAAGAAAAATATAAATGAAACACACAAAATAATAATAATAATAATAATAATAATAATAATATTCACAAAAAAGAATTGTGCTTCAAACGAAAGAAGCATAAAATACAAAAAATAAAAAAATAAAAAAATAAAAAATAAAACCGTCACCTCCTTAAGTGTGGCACTGTCTTTTTTCCCCATCTCTTCTTGTCTCTATTGTTCTTCAAACACTCTCGTCATTCATATAAACATTTCGTATTTCACCCCCCGTTCCTTTTTCTCACTAACACCGCCAATACAACTTCAGTGCCTTTTATCTTCACTGAGTGTGTTGGGGGGAAAGGGGGGGAGAGAGGAAAAAAACAAAAAAAAAAAAAAAAAAAAAAGGGAAGGGAAGGGAAGGAGGCGGCGGCTGGCAAATGCAGCTGACACGTAATACAATTAGCAAATATATAACAACATGGACATTTCTCCCCCTCCACGCGCCGCCGCCACCGCCGCCACCTCTTTTTTTTTCTTTCTTATTTACTTTTTTCTTTTTTTTCACTCCAAAGGCCATTTCGCATTCGTTGATGGGAAGGAGGTGCCGTGATGATACCCCTGTTTCTAACGCGGCTCAGCCCCGGTGTCCTTAAATCCAAGCTGGCTGCCACTGCTCCTGCTGGGATGCAAGACGGCAAACGGTATCACGGGCGAGAAACATTGCGTCGCGCTGAAAAACCCCATTCCACTTTCCGCCTCCGACCGATTGCTCATCAGTGACTTTTGTAAACTTTTCTTTGGAAAATCCAAATTCACCCCGTCATAAATAAAATCACTGTCAAAAATACAAGTTGAGTAATTCTCGCTGAGTTGCATGGAAGATTTACTTGAATGCGTCGAGGGAGGCTGCGGATCTTTCAACGTGGTGCCACCATTACTCATATTACAGATGCTTGAGGCCGTAATAACCGATTTAAATGCACTGGCATCGTATCTTCTCCTTCCTGTGGTGCCAGAAAAGAAGAAATTGGCGTCGGACAGTAACGAGTGCTGTGTATTCTGCGACGCAACAGAATGCCTCTGAAAAGTGGGGGAAGGCAAAGCAAATACGGGTAGATTCATCTCCATCGCCTTCCCTGCAAAGATTAATGAAAGCGGTGAGGTACGCCTCTGTTGTGGGTAGTTGAGTTTACTGTCATTTTTAGTAATGTCCGTCTTCGCTTCAATTGAGTGGGATAATGCCCGTCGCAGCAATGACTTGGCCCAATCGGAGCCCCTCCTCTTTTTCTTCCTTGGAGATTCTTCTGTGGAGGTTAATTTTCCCCCAAAGCCACTTGTGCGGTCTCCCCCAACTGCATCCAAGGATCCATAAATTTTGGAAAAATTTGTCGACGGAATATTTTCCAACTGGCTTTTCAACGAAAAAATTTCCTTCTCGTGTGAATTCGTTGCTTCTGGGACGTCTTGGACGGGCCTCGGTGGCATTTCCTCCACTTCTGAGAGGGATACGTACCGGTGACTTGTTGCCTTTGGGCTTTGAACGCCATTCCCCGTGCATTTTTTATTCGCGGTTCCTACACCGGTTAATACAGGCAATAAGTTCCGTAAGGGGCTTTTGTGTGTGGAATTGTCACTGGTGTTTTCCACCGAGCGTTGCCTCATCCGACAAAAAGCCGTCAAATCCGCAGCATGTCCCCTTATTATCTCCGAAGAACAATCGCCACCTTCATTTGAATTCAATATTTTATCCGGCGCCTGCTCGCTCCAAATAATTTTCCCCGGAGGATGAGTGGAAAAGGGCGGCGTGCGGGACAATGCCAACCGCGGCTCGACCGTCTCTTCATAAAGCAAAGTGACTCGATGTACATTTGGTTGCCTAACCCCAATCGGTGGCTCAACGCCTCCTTCCATATTCAATGTCGGGAACTCTTCTGGTGCCAAGCTGATTTTTTTCTCCCCCCTCTCTGTGGGCTCAAATTCGGGTAAACTACCGGGGTGGCGTACGATGAGCCTGTGGCGCCTATGAAGATTAGTCAAGTAAATGCCTTTCCAGTCATCGCTGCTTGAAGAGACCCTGCGTTCACAACTTTCCCGGCTAGACTGTGACACACGCTGCTGGCGCGTGAGCGTGGCCACGTTGGGCTGCTTGCGGACAGATTCATCTCCCTTCAGCTTGAGCTCCTTCGGATGATACTGCCTTGTCCATTGTAAAAACTGTTCCTTTAATGCTCCACTGGGTTGTACCCGCAGGGATGTCTTAATGGGAAGCAAAATTCCATCTTTCCTTTCCTCTCCAAGCGTTCGTTGGACACATGTATCCACAAAAGGAAACTCCTTCTTAAATATCTTGCTGTTACCGATATTCTCACTGCTCAAGCTGTTTCGTTTCAATCCTTGACGAGGGGTCAATGGCATGCCAGATGTAACCTCTGGAATCCTTGTATATTTAAAGCAATGATCATCATCGGCTTTACCTTTCCCACTAATAATAGAGGACGCTAGTAAAGTCTTTGAGAATGTGTTACTTCTAATCTCTCGCTCATTCCAAAAAGCTTCATGATTCCCTCGTTTAGTCATGGCGTAAAAATTAAAAAAAATAACACACGGTTCCCAACCGGATGGGTGCAGTGCGACTCCGTTGGCACAAATGGCAAAGGGGTGGGGAAGGGGGGCACAGGAAGAGACGTGCGGCCGGAACAATTTACAAGGGACCCAACACCTCTCTCTCTCTCTCTCTCTCTCCCTCTCTCCCTTTATTTCCCTCACCTTCTTCCCTGCGTCTGCGTATGTTCGTGTTCGATGAATGCGGAAAACAATTCACCCCAACCCCCCACCTCTCTTCTTCTCACTACCCACAACTCCACGGCAACAAATAATAATGAAAAGAAAAAAAAAAAGACTAAGGGTCCTCTAATCCTTCCAAGATGGGATAGCTTTCACCTTGAAGCAACAAGAAAGAAAAAAAAAAAGAAAAAGAAAAAGAAAAACAAATGAGCGTGTAGAAAATATTCTCTCCAAA